TAGCACTGCGCTGGGACGAGGGGCTGGAGGAACGGGCAGGAAGGGACACAGGGCATCTCCCAGGCAAAAAAGCACAGAGGAACCCAGCGAGGCGCCTTGTGAAGTCTGTAGCAGCCGTGGCCCCACCACGCAGCTCCCAGCCAAGCCCTGGCCCTGCACAGGACCCCTCTGGCCTGGCTGCTGGACCCAGGCCCATGCAGGAGCACGGGAAGAGCCTTAGGGCCTGGACAAATACAACCCGAGTGTTTGTACCCCTTGAGGCCCTGCTGTGGAAGGTACAAGATCAAAGATGTCAGTCCACCAGGGTGGGTTTTGCTCCCAGGGCAGGGAGAACAGCAGCAAACCCGGGCAGTGGGGTGGGAAGCACCCCCCGTGGTCACCGGCCCAGCTTTCCCCGGTTTTGTGCAGATGAAAGTTTCTTATCCCCTCATCTGGGCACGAAACAGCTTCAGCTATAAATCTCCAGCACTAAATTAATCCTTGGCATTGTCCCTTCTTAAGGAAGGAGCATTAATTTACCCCCTGCAGCCTGTGCTCTGCAGGGGGTTGGGGGCTGATGGGTCACTGCTCAAAACCCCTGCATGGGGACCTGGCCTCCCGCTGGGAGCTGGAGGAGCAGCCCCCGGCCCAGAGAGGGACGTGCAGCTCCAGCCCTGAGCGAGCAGAGGGTGCGGGGTGAGGGGTTCACGGTGCCCACCCTCCCACCCAATTTCTGGTTTCTCCTGGCTTAGGCACCAGGATGCTGCAGAAAAATCACTTGGATCCTGCTGACAGCAAGGGACGAGGGCACAAACCTCTGGCTGCAGCTTTGCTGCTGGGTCAGGGCAGGCGGGAGGCTGAGCCCAGACAGCGCCGAGGGAAGCGCCCCCTCTGCGGGACAGATTTATGGACACAGGCGGGACCTGGCGAAGAAAATCAACCGTTGGCTTTAATTATTGCGTACGTCTTCACTTCTAGGACTAGGAAAAGTTTCAACTGATAAATATACATTTCATCAGAATGCCTTTGGCTGAAAGACACCAGTAGCACATTCTTCAAAGTTACGACAAAAGTCTTAGAAATGTTAAAAAGGGATTATTTGTGTGGTTGGTTGTTTTTTTTTTTTTTCCTTTACTAAAATAAAGGAGTGCACCCCCCACCCCACCAAGGCGCTAGGACTGACAGACGGGAACCCTTGGCTGTGCAAAGCAGAGCGTTGATTACAGTAACAGAAAGGAGTGGGGACAGGCGTGGGGAGCCTGCGTGGCGCTCGGCGAGGCCCGGCGGCGCGGGGTCAGGTCAGCATGTCCCACAGGCAGCAGCAGCAGAGCGCGGTCCAGCACGCCGTCAGGCAGGCGCTCTCGCCCGTGTCGTCCCTCCGCCGCTCCTCCACGACGTACACTGCGGGGACAGGAGAGCCGCGTCAGCCAAGAGCGGTGCAGCCCCGGTTTGGGGTGCACAAGGAGGTGCTGAGCTCCCATGCTGGGTGCCGCAGCCCCTCGGGCCATGGTTTCAGCACCCGGCGAGGACCCGCTGCCCCCCATGGCTGCCAATGCCCCTCAGGGCCCAGCACAGCACCCCCCTGTCACAGGGCAGGAGGGACCCAGCCCCGGCAGCGGTGCCAGAGGGGACCCCGCACTGCCTGGGTCAGCAAGGCAGGAGATGGGAGAAGAGGCCATGGGGGAGGTTGCCCAGCTGGTACCACCACAGCCAAAGCAGGCGCAGCCTGGGGAGAGTTAAATCAATGACCCACCTCCTCCAGCCAGCCACAGCGGGACACAGAGGGAAGGTCCTGGGGCAAGGGGTGCTCTCCAGGTGAGATCCGGCCCCTGTGTATAAGGTGGGCACAGACAGGTCCCTGTGTAACCTTCCCCACCCCAAAACACTGGGAGTGGAGCATCTCCTGCTGAGGAGCGGCTGGGGGAGCTGGGGCTCTTGAGCTTGGAGCAGAGGAGACTGAGGGGTGCCCTCATTCCTGGGGATCCATTGGGAAAGGGCAGGGTCAGGAGGAAGGAGCCAGGCTCTGCTCTGGGATGGCCAATGCCAGGACAAGGGGCAATGGTCCCAAGCTGGAGCACAGGAGGTTCAAGCTGAAGATGAGGAGAAACTTTGTGAGTGTGAGGGTTCTGGAGCATGGCCCAGGCTGCCCAGAGAGGTTGTGGAGTCTCCTTGTGTGGAGACACCCAAAGCCCTGGCCGTGTTCCTGTGTGACTGCTCTGGTGATCCTGCTGTGGCAGGGGTTGGGCTGGGGGAGCTTTCCAGGGCCCTTCCAGCTCCTCCCATTCTGTGGTTCTGTGGAAGGGATGCTGCCCTGTGCCCTGTTACTGCAGACATACAAGAAGAGTTTGCCTGAAGTATTTATGATTAATCCATTACAAGTTTTTAAACCCCAGCCGAGCATCGAGGCCGTACTGACGAAGCGTGTTCAGAGTGGGTATAAAGTGCTCTTACGAAACACCTGCTGAAATATTAAACAGGCTGGGCCTGTGCAGCAGCAGACGGGCACCGTCCTGCACAGCCGACGCTCACTGGTGCTGGTTTTGGCACCAATGGGTCACAGCGGGCACGGCTCTTCCCCGCTGGCCTGCACAGCCCTGCTGCCCGCAGCTCCTGTGCTGGAGCAGCTCAGACACGGCACAACCGCCCAGAACAGCCCAGGCAGGACCGGGACAGGGGCAGCAGCCATGGCAGCACCTTTCCAGGACTCACCATGGGCTTGGGGGCGGTATTTGCCTTCATTACAGACAGGGAAATGGCACAGGAGGGAGACCACGGCCTTCATTCTGTTCCACTAAAAAATCATTTAAACCAGCAGCAAACGCTGCTCCTTTACAGGTTGAGTTTAAAGATTCCTTTCCTTGAAGCTTCGTCAATGCTTCCGAAGTTGTAGCTCTGCCGCTGTCACCAAACTGGTGACGTTGGTCCCCTCTTCACTTACCGCTACCAAAGTGTGCAGGGTAAAATCCAGCCCAAAGCAAGGCCAGAAACAACCCCAGCCAAGCCCCTCCTCAAGCTGGAGACGTCCTATGCCGCTCATTTTGGACACCACGCACCTGCACATCAGCTTCAAAGCACCCACACAGAGACAGAAGTACCCGAGGACACCAAGAGCAGCACCTTCACTCCCAGCCCGTGCACTCGCGCTGCTCTAACCGCAGAGGATCCCCTGCGACCCGCACCGTAAGAGGCAGTGGCACAAAACCCCAGCACCCAACTCACCCCCTCACGATCATTTCGGGAGGTCCTGCACAGCACATCACTGATGCCAACCAGCCAACGTCTTCAACCGGCGGTTTTCCCTTAGCACAGAGCAGTTTTCTCCTGGAACAGCTTTGCCAACAAAACCCCAACCCAAAACACACCAACTGAGGGAGCTGCCGGGTCGGTACCCTCTTGTCAGAGGCCTGAACGCCCCAGTTTGCTGTGGGGAGCTTTACTGGGGACACCATTCGCTGCTCTGTGCCTCTCTCCTCTCCAAGGAGCACTTTGGGACCGGTGGTCTGATGGAAAAGGAAAACCAGGGTGATTTCTCCAAGACATCAGGCAGTTTTAGGCTCAGATTTTGACGCTCCCACTGCTTTTTCTTCTACAACAGCACTGCAGAGGGTGTGAGCTGAGCAGACCCTCCCAGCTCCTAATCAGCCTTAAAGAGCAATGAATCCTGCTCCCCCCAAAACGGGAGCACTCCCTGTGCTCACACAGTGCCAGGCTGCACAACGCAGCGCAAATAACTCCCACTCCGGTTTTCAAACAACTACTACAATACCTCGCTATTTCACCCACAGCCTGCTTTATCTTGAGCACACACGTTTTGTTTCTCCTCACAGCTAATTGATGCGTTAATCATTAGCTGCAGGAGGGAAAGGCGCAGGCAGCACTCTTCACCCCGTTTGGGATAAGCTAAAATCGTGACCTTCGAGCGTGGTGTTCCTTACCGCGGCCATGGGGATTGCAGCCCAGGGATCACACCCCCAGCTGCTGTGAGACATTGGCCTGCAGAAGTAGTAACACCCCAGTCTTCTCACCTGGGAGGAAGGACACGGCAGAGGTGGGACCCATAGAGGTGGGAAAGGCTGAGGGAGCTGGGGCTCTTTAGTTTGCAGAAGAGGAGACTGAGGGGAGACCTCATTCATGTTTATCAATATTTAAAGGGTGAGTGTCACGAGGATGGAGCCAGGCTCTTCTCGGTGACAAACAATGATAGGACAAGGGGTAACGGACACAAACTGGAACACAGGAGGTTCCACTGAAATTGGAGAAGAAACTTCTTCTCAGTGAGGGTGACAGAGCCCTGGCCCAGGCTGCCCAGAGAGGTTGTGGAGTCTCCTTCTCTGCAGACATTCAAAACCCGCCTGGACGCCTTCCTGTGTAACCTCATCTGGGTGTTCCTGCTCCGGCAGGGGGATTGGACTGGATGAGCTTTGGAGGTCCCTTCCAGTCCCTGACGTTCTGGGATTCTGTGAATACGTCTTTTCCTGCATGTGAATGAAGTGGTTTTTACCACAAGCCGCTCCTGCACCACGAGCTTTGTGTCTGCGTGCAGGAAGTCTTGCTTCAGAGCGCACGCTGCTGTTTGAGCAATGATTTCTTCGAGGGTTAAGTGCTGCCCGCAGCGGATTGCCAAGGCAGTGCGTGCATCTGGTGCTGCTTTCAAAGCGTTCTTAGCCACGTCCTTTTAAGCTTTTCTGTTCAGGATGGAGGCCTGAGAAGGGAAAGTTGGCACAAGGGCGGTTTGGGCAGCCAAGGGATGCTGAGGTGACAGGGACTGGAAATGGAGCCACAATTTGGGGTGCAGACCCAGCACCCCAGAGCACCCAGCCCTGGTGTCCACAGCCACGTCCTGGAGCAGTGAGTGAGGATGAGGAGGGTGCACGACTGGGGCACAGGGACCCCAGGACTCCAAGCGAACTCCAGGGCAGAGCCTGGGCACAGATGAGGTCTAATTCCCTCGGCAAAAAATGGCGTTTTATTGTTCTTTCTGCTCTCTGGGGATATCTGCTCAGGCTTAACAGCTTCACATCGCCCGGCCCCTCACCTCCTTCCTGCCCAGAGGCTTTCACTGTGTGCAGTCTCTACTCAGACCATATTCAGATTGCAGGAAATCCCTGAGCATGCTCCTGAAGCAGATACCAGCCAGGGCCAGATGGAAGGACAAGAGCCTATTTCCACACAAAAAGTCTTCTGAAGTTGGAAAAGGCTCATAGCAAATTTCACAACCCCCAGCTGCAAACACAACCAGAGCAAAAATCAAGTATCAAGGAAGCAAACTGCAAGCATGGGCAGTTTCGTCTGTAAATCCCCTCTGCCACCACATTTCTGCTGCTGACCCAGCCCAAATTTCAGCCTGGGTTCAAGCAGAAGTGACTGATGGGCAACCACCCACGCTGGTACGGGATCTGCCCTCGTTCGTGGCTGTGATACCCAGCAGGATAGGAAAACTTCTGCCTTTCAGTTCCCGCAAGCCCGAGGCGCTCTCGTGGTCACCCTCAGGAGCTGCTTCAGCGCTCGGGGAGCTGAACAGGCAGCACATTGCAGGGAAGTTACCATGCTGGCGTGCCAAGAGAGCGCTTCCCGCAGCCAAGGCTGCGCTGGCCGCATTTCACACAAGGGTTGAGTTGTTCCCCTCTCACGTGCTGCGTCTGCTCCAAGCACGGGTTATGTCCGAGCAGAAACCGTGCAGGTTTTCTCACAGGGGTGGGATTCAGAGATCTCTGCAATATTGGAAGTGATGCTCATCAGCATTTATGGCGTATAGATGTGCCCTGGAAGGATTCAGTGTCTCTAAAAAGCAAGCCTAAGCACTCCTTGTAGGAGAAAAGCCTACCTTATGGAGCAAGTACACATCAGCAGGCATCGGCCGGCTCTCCCAAGCACCAGAAATCTCATTGCACGGGTTACAAAGCGTACAGGAGATATGTTGTGTAAGAAATCAGCTTCCCTTAGCTCAGAAGTACAGAAATGCAGGGCTTCTGACCCCTCAGAAGATGCAGAGGCACACCTCAAATCTTAATTTACTGTTAAAGCAAGGAGGCATTTTCCACCAAGTCAACTGCAGGGCTGAGAGCAGCACGTCCCTCAGCTTGCGTCAGTGTTTTCACTGAAAAAAGTCAGCATCAGCCCTAGATTTAAACAAGTCCTGGCTTGGAGGGGTTTACACAGCACAAACTCAGTCTTACAAGAGTGTCCTGAGTGACAGAGGAGGGACAAAGTCCCGTTTTAACGCAAAGGGAACGCACCATGGCCAGGAGTCACCCGGGGGCAGCCAGGCTCTGCAGAACCACAACCTGCGCAGCGCTGGAAAAAGGCTTCACTCAATTTGCTTCTGTGGAGCCAGCCTTCACCTTGCTTAGCCAGTTTGCCTGCTTTCAGATCCACGGCCTGAATTTGGAAACCCTTTTCCTTGCATCAGGGTTTTCGCAGGTGATCCTCCTCCGGGCTGGCCCCAGCACGGCGCTGTTTGATGGTGCATCAGCTGAGAGGAGCTGGGGACCGTGGGAGGGATGGGGACAGCGGGAGGGATGAGACAGCAACCTCGGAAGAGAGAACACCGTGCTTTAATGCACACTACCAAGGTGTTAGGAGCTGATAAGGGGATGGCTGCCAAGTGAGATTTTTAATCTGGCAGGTCCTGAAGGTACGGCAACAGTTAAGATGCTTGGGAAGGGTCAATATACAGAGAGAAAGCCTGCAGCAATTGTTACGTGCTGCCCTCCAAATGCACACTGCTGGGGAAGGCTCAGCTCGACGCAGTTTGAGAAGCGAGGGGGTAACCACTGAGAAGCAGCAGAGCGATTGGGATCCCCTCCTCTCCCTAAAGAGGAAACCCGCCTCCCCTCTTGCAGGAGGCAGTGGCTGTATCTGGGTGACCTGTTTATTCTTGCAGCTGGCAAACACTGGGAGGGAGGCAGCATCGCTGTGCCCACGACTCTTATCACAGCCGGCTTTGCTACAAGCAATCAACTCCCCGAAATAAGATTTCCACCCTGTGCGTACAATAGGTCAAACGCAACACTGAGCTTTGTTTGCCTTCGGCTGCAGGGAAGGCTGCTGCTGGCAGAGCCTGGTTCCCTTTGGCACAGCTCGTCCCCCTTCTTTTGAAAGCTCGCCGTTATCACCAGCATTGCATTTCACCTCTCATTTGCACAGACAGGAAAGTACCTGCTGGCCCTCAGCACTTACAGTAGTTTCCTTATGCTGGTTGGTAGTGAATTATTCTGTAGTGAAAATACCGGTAGGGAAATGAGGTGTTTTCTAGAATGAGGTCTTTTCTTCCTCCTGAAGACAGCCCTCGATTTTACAGCAGAGAAATCAGCACAAGTCAGCTCACAGAGCGAGGAAGCTAAATCAGAAACCCTGAAGGACAACGTCCCCCAGGCTCAGCACAGAAATTATCAGCTCTAAAGGTGAAGGCCAAGTTGTTTACGTGTAGCAAACAACAGCCAAGTCAGTTATTAGCCCGTGCAAGAAGTGTTTCTTTGGAAACTTTGCTACTGGCAGTCTGTGCCAGCCCAAAAGCCAGCTCTGAGAAAAACAAAGCAAACCCAAAACCTCATTTAAGCTAAATTTAAGCTGTCCCCCTGTTACATCTCAGATGCAGCTTCCTTTTTAACACAGAGCGAGGTTTTTTTTCTTCTCCAAGGGCCAATGGGACAGGCTATGTCCACTCCTACTCCGGCCAGGCCACAAACTGTTAGATTAAAAAGCACCATCACCATGAAATGCTCCTTTACCATCAGATTTTGGGAGCTCAACAGTAATTATTTCCCCTCTGCGTGACCCACTCGAGACCAAAATATGATGCACAAGTACTTCCACACACTGGCCCACCAGCTAAAACTTAAAAGTATAGCAAATTGCCTAGTTTTCAGTGTGGACAACACCACCTTTGTTCAGAAACACGAATGCATTGCTCGGAGCGGCTTAATTCATTAAATTAAAAAAAAAAAATCATCTAGGAGGGCAAAACATCCGCCCTGAAAGGAAATCATCCACGCAGCGGCTCTTCCCAGATAACTGCTTGGGAACACCACAGGAACTGACAAACCACATCAAATCAGGCCAGAGCAGCTCGGCAGACTGCAAAGACTTCATTAAATTTACATGGCAATTTTTTATACCGGAGGTTCAGCCACACCAACAGACAGAAAGCTTTTTGGTGTTTTGGGGACAGCCATTCTGTATTAAGCACTCTTGGAGGTGATCATTCAACAAAGCCTCTTTGAAAGCTCTCTCAGATTTCTGTTAAAGCGTCCCAGGATCAGGTTCCAGTTTGATGGACTGGCCAAAAAGGAGAAAAGAGGGACAAAAAGGGTGTTTAACAGAAGCAGAATCAAGAAAAAAAGAAAAGCTTTCGCAGGCAGACACAAAGTGATAGCCCTGACTTCACTTTACACAGATTTATCACTGTTTTTCTATGCTACATCCTCTTTGGCAAAAGCAATGCAAATTAGAGGGTCCCAGGGTGGGTTCAGAGACCAGAGGTGGTGATGGGAAGGCAGTTCACAGAGGAGAGTTACCAGAACAGCGCTGGTCTGTGGGCTGGGGTGCTGCTTCTGCAGAGCTGCAGCTGCTTCAGCTCAGGTTTAACAACAAAACCACGTCCCCTGCAGCCTAAGCCTGGGCTCTCAGCAAGAGCCGTGCTTGCACCCTCAGCTGCTCGTCCTCTCCGATTTCCCAGCCTCCTCCTTTGCGCTGCTCTGCGGGTCTGCGAGCAGAGACCTGATCCGAGCAGAGGACGTTCAGTGTCACCGGGTCCCTGCGCCAGGCTGATACGAGATCCTTTAAGCCTCCAAGGCAGGAGATCGGGCTCCAAGCCAGACCCAAAGCAGCAGACCCACTCTCCCTGCTGGCACATCCCTTTTCCTGGCTAAAGCACCAAAGTGACACTTGCACTAACCAGAGATGCCCTACATGGGAAACGAGGATTATTTTTCTTCCCCAGTACCAATAAATACCCATGAACCAGCCCCAAACGATGTGCATTTCCCAGGGACAACCCTGATTAAACTCCTTGTGGTGGCAGTGGTGGGAAGCATGACCCAGCTGCTGCTTCCTCCTCAAAGGCGGACCCTTGAGGTTTCACTCTTACAGAGGAAGCTGAACTCATGACTTGCACTCATCCAAGTCCTTATTCACTCACACCGGTTGTTCACTGCTTATATTTGGGTCCTCTGGCCAGACCCACACCACAATATTCCTGACATCTTGTATCAGCTATAAATCCAGGGATGCTTTTATATACACTACTGAGAAGAGTCTGGCCCCCCTTCTTCACTCCCTCCCATCAGGGATTTATAGACATGGACAGGCCCTGGAGCCTTCTCCAGGCTGAACAGTCCCACCTCTCAGCTTCTCCTCATATAAAGATGCTCTGGTCCTTCAGTCATCATCTCAGCCCTCCTCTGACAATTGGAGCCTGCGCCAAGCACTGCAGCGAGCTCTGGGTGCCAGAGTAAACCAGTGCACCATATTGAGAGGACATGGTACACAGATGGACCGGCTAGCTGCCAAGACGAGTTACCCCATCCTCCTCCCCTTCCAAGAAATCTGTGTTTTTCCACAGAATGATAACAGCTTCTGAAAAAACAAAAGCCCAGGAAAGATTCCAGTGGCACTAGTGGATCGCTTGGACAGATGCTGATGGGCTCAAGATGTACATTAATTCAGTAGGAACTGGACATTTGAATATTACAGGCTTTAAGTTTCAACCGAAGGCTGCACGGTTATCAACCAGAAGACAGGCAGGATGAGAGTTGTGGCAAACCTCAAGCCAGCAAAAAGCAGATATAAGAACCTCAGCGCAAGGATCCCCTTGAGGGATCAGCATTAAGGACATTCAGCTGAATCTTCCAACAGCCAGAGAGCTGTTAGAGACACAGCAGCAAAATAAAGCAGGAAAAGAGGCTACAAACAGAATCGCTGCTTCAAAGGAGTCTCCAGCTCCCTCAGCCCCGTCAGGACCAGACGCTGGTAACCACATCACTTCAAGGTCAACACAAATTCATGCATTTGCAAGCCAGAAAGGGTCGGGATTACATGGCCCCGTGGCTGCCAGGCATACCTGTGTTTTTAGGCCCATCTGCATACACTGGTCCAGGAGGCGGAGGTGCGTTTTGCCATCCGTACTGGGGATAACCTTGATAGCCCGGCTGGCCCGGCTGGTACGGCCCCGTGGGTCCGGGAGGGTAGCCGGGGTACGGGCCAGGAGGGCCACCCGGTTGCTGTGCATAGGGTGGGTAAGGGGCAGTGGGACCCGGGCCGGGGTACGGCGGAGGATTTTCGTAGTTCATGTGGGATGCCGAATGTGTCCTGCAGAAGAAGGGAAACAAACAGAAGAACTGGTTTGTTTTTGTCTGCTTCATCCATGACCATAGAATTCCCATTTCAGACTGCTCTCCAGTGAGGAAACAGACCTCAAAACACCTGGTCAAGCAGCGAGTTCATTTTTAACCCCATCACAGGGGCAGAGACCGAGTCGAGGTGATTTCTTATAAGCGACAGGAGTTTAACTCAGCAGCAGTGACTTGCTGCTTTCCAGCCGTGCATCAGCTACCCACCCTAGGACATTTAACAGTCTGGCAACTGCAAAGCAAAATCCTCTGCTTCCACTCATGATTAAGTTGCTTTTAAGAGAGATTTAGAAGCGATTACTTCATGCTTTTGTCAATATTAAAAGAAAAGAAGAACAGGCAGAAATACAGCCCACTCCAGACGTGTTTGACGGCCTCGACAGAAGGGTGAACTCAAATGTCCATTACATTACTGCTAATTGTTCCAAATATCTAGCCCAGCACTCTGGAGCAAGGCTATACATGAACAATTTCCTGAAGACACCATAACCCAGCACATTGCTGATCCCTTCCAGTAACGTGCCACTGAGTCATTAAGCAGCCACAAGAAATCAGGACCTGAGGCTCGGTCCCATTCAACAGCAACATTAATGACACCTCGGCGAGCTGATGTTCATAAAAGCTACCTAACAAATTACTCATGGTACAGACATCGGGAGACAAGGCTGCCACAATATTGCCACTTCAATTAACCTCTGAGCAGCATGACTAAGCAAACCATTCCTTACATTAGGTTTCTGAAGCCTTGAGAAACAGAAGTGTCCTTAATACCATGTGCTCAGGAGCCGTCCTGACCCAAGGAGCTGTACCCTGCTATTTACTTGTGCCATCACAGGGTGCAGACGGGTCACCATTCCCCTGCTGCTCCACACCTCCTCCCACATGCCACAGGCTTCAGGAAGAAATAAGAGGAGGATAATTCGCCTGCCTTGAAGCTTGTGGCTGCTGTTAGAGAGGCTGAGGAGCAGAATCCGCTTCGGATGGCGTTGGAAAGGGCCGGCAGCCGGGTTAGACTGACCTGGATGCTCTGCACTGTGCACCCACTCTTGGGGACATGTGGAGTTTGAGTCCCAAGGAGACCATTAAGGACATCCAGACCGAGCTCTGGCGTGACGCAGATTGAGGAATTTCACCTTTGTAACTCTATAGCTCAGAGCCCAGCGCAGTCATCTGCCGGCAGGGGCCAGGCGAATCGAGCCTCTGGGGCTATGTTTAGCTGCTGCCGTCCCTGCCAGCGCTGAAGCCAGCTTTGTTTATGGCTTGCAGTTTCATCACCTCAGAGAGCACCCACGGTCCCTCCCCACAGTAAGATCCCCAGGCTCTGCTTATTTACACGTTTCTCCTGCCCCAACGTCCCCAGCGCGACGCTCGCTGCTGCACCGGCACCATGGGGCTCTCCTACACACGCAGCCCCATCCCACTCTCATAACAGCCCGTCAGATCCCACACCATGCCCAGGAGAGCGCTGGAGACTCAAAACAACCACAGAGGTGCACAACAGGGGTGCCCTCCATCCCACCACGACACCATGGACCCCTCCAGTCTCGCAGGTTGGGTTTGAGCCTGCAGTTGTCATTCACCTGAACCTCTTTTAATGCTCCTCTTGCTGTGCAAGAACCACTAAGGCAGCGCTGGTATCTTTCAAGTGTTATTTCTTAATGTCTTTGACAAGAGTTTTCACTGTTCAACCAAGGCCAGGGATTAGAGGAATTCTATTTATTATTTTTTCCCTACTGCCAGCCCAGCCAGACCTCTTAACTGCTCATTTTAAAATGGACAAGCACCACATAATGTTTAACTCGAGGCTCTTTAGCCACTGTACTGCACTGCAACACCTCTACCAAGCCTGCAGCAGGGGAATTCTCCCTTCAGTGAGCCAGTGACAGCCCCGCGACTCGCTTCAACGCAGCAAAGTGGAGAATTGGGACATAACGGGTCACTAATGTTATCTAACCCAGAAAATCGTCCTGAAATAGCAGCCAAAAGCAAGTTCCCAGGGAAGAACAAGGCCAGAGTGAGTGCATACACGTGACAGGGTAACTATTTGGTGCCCGAGCAACCTGTGAACACCCACCCCCTGGGTTTGCTCAGCCTTTTGCACACTTTTTTATTGTCAACCTTTTCCTAAGAACCCCCAGGGCTCAGCTGCCTTTGGTGATCACTGCCAAAGAGTCACATCCAGTACTTTGGTTTTCCAAGGCCCTCCTACCTAAGAGGACGGTCAGCTCAGCTCATCCTTTCCAGCAAAGTCCAGTCTTCCCCTCACACATCAATTCATTTATCTGCATTCACTACCACTGAAATGGCTTGAGCAAACAGGGGAATGGCAGCATAAGGAACAAGAAAGAAATACCAGTGCTCTGTCAGCCACGCCAAAGCAGTTTTTGAAGAGGATATGGGTTTGGAGTGGAGCTTCTACCTGTTAATGAGAGAGAGTCTACTAAAAGCCAGGCAGATGCCTGGGCAGAGACCTCAGAAGAAGAACAGAAGAGCAGAAATGAGATTAAGGAGGGCATATTCCACTGGAGGAAAAGTTATTTATTCCCTCAGAGACGAGGGTAAAGTAACACAGCTGAGATGAGGCAAGAAGTAAAAGAGAGCATCTAGCAGGAACCGTTTCAGCCGCAACTGCACTGGAGATTTATCTGTGAGAAATGAAAAAACTGAAGAATATATCAAGCATTTGGCAAACACAGGAGGTGGCTCTGGAAAGCAGGTCCTGTGGAGGTCCTAGCTCCTACTGCTGCGCACTCCCTCCCAGCTGTGAAGCTCAGCCTTCTCACAGTGGTCTTCACCCCTATTACATTTTCATTAAGAATATTTCCTTGCTCCTCACATGTACATACCCTTCCCTACTCACTCCTTTTTGAACCGTGCGACAATATGGAGATTTTCCTCCTTCTCAGGAACTCATAAATGATTTCACATGCTTATTAGCCCTATTTACTCACCTGGGTACGTGTTTGCAAGGCAAAGCCTTGAATCATTAAGCAGATACTTTTCAGAGACATACCTGAGCTCCTAGTCAAACGTGTTATCACACTTTGCTGTGGGTTCTCACCCCAACCACTAATTCCATGTGGGCTGCAACCAAGACCAACTCCTCGCATGAGGGCTCAGATCTGTGGGTTTCCCAATGAGCACCTCTTGGTGCTCGAAGGAAAGAGGCCAACGCATCAGTAAAGCCCAGTGTTTTTCGCAGCACTGCAGGAAGTCCATTAGGAAGAACCAGCACAGCACTCACACCATGTGAAACTTCATCTACTTTTGCTAAGAGGTAAGTTTGTTAATATATCATTGAGTTTTCTTAAGCTGTCTTCAGACTCCTTAGCTCCACACTGCTGAGCAAACATCATTGCCCCTACCCGAGCAGAAGGGTTTTCTTTTTAAAGCAGCTTACCATATACCCCAAAAGGGTGCACCGTCTCCCATAAGGTCTGAAAAAAACAAATCACTGAAGTAGGAGTACACACACAATAGATCATGTAGAGAATACGTACGGCACTATGCATGTACATGTCTATATATGACACACAGAGAGATATCAATACTTAAGAACCACCATCCAATGTGAGAACACGAGTCCCTCTAAATCTGTGACCTGTCTTTGACTAAGGCTTAGCAAAAAGCAAGTACAGAACTATGATGCTTTGTATATACTATATGTCTTTTTAAACGTGCCCATTTTGGCAGCCAATACACCTTAGAGAAACAAATTTCACCGTTAAGCTTTGAAAACACCTACTTCTTTTTGATTTCTTTATATTCACTGCCTCATACAAGGTCAGCATACCAGAGCAGCTGTTACAGAACCAGTCAGTCACTGTTCCTGGCTCTCCTCTTCATGAATTGCTAATCTTTTTTTTCCTCCAGGCATCTCTCCTGAGCTGAGGACTCTGCTTCTACAAAGCCTGCCCTATTCCTTGAGCATTTGTGCCACCCAATGCTGTGTCTTTAGTTTTACCTTTGATCTGAGAGGCAGCAGCAGGGTGCATGGCACTCCGCTGTGCCCTGCTGCAGCAGCCTCTGCTTTCCATCCCTTTCCCAGCCCGCTCCTGGGGCAGCTCTTGCCATACGCCAAGGCAAACAGAGCTGAAGCTGTACCGTACCAGTTGTAACTGTGAGATCTTTCCAGCTGGGAACAGCTCACATAGAGATATTGGTGTAAGTACCAACACCCACCCTCTTTCACCATTTCACAGACCAGACATCAGGCTCTTCCACAAGTCTCTGAACACCACTTTAGTTTCAACCCAGGAATGTCTCATCATCTACAATGGCCACCTATTTATCCTTTTCACAAAAAATAATGAACCCAGTGAGATGTACCTTTGCCCCATCTATGTTTAAGAATCACTGAGAAGGATTTTTTCCCCCTCTAAACGAATCAGAAAGGAATCTGTCGTCTCATTTAGGCATCTGGTATCTCACTTGTCAAGAACAGCCCTGCAGCACAGCACGAGGGCCTGAGCAGGCAGGACTTCTGGTCAGAAGATAACATGATGCAGGAAAACATCCAAGAATTAAGAGAATAAAGGAAAGTGTGACGGAGGGAATGCTGTTCTGCTAGCACGAGGGGTTTCCAAACAAAGAGCCTTCATACCCTGCCAAGAAGACCCAGTTTCACCTTTTTCCTTCCTCCAAAAGGCCACTTACAAGACTGGCACTCCAAAGCACCTCTTCTGAGGCCAGCATAAATCTGGCCTTCAAAGCGACTGCAGACCAGTATAGAAGAGCCATCTGCATTTTTCCACAGTAGGTGCTCACAGCTGCTAATCCACCGGCAGAGAAATACCCGTCCCTACAGGCAGCTGCCTGTATCTCTCAAATGCAACCTCCTAGGCAAGTGAATCAATTAAATAAAAGCTGTGTTATGCAGGGAGAGATGACAATCTGGGTACTGGAACAGGGTTAAACACACCTCCTGTTGCATAGAGAACAGTGCAAGAAACAGTCCTC